GACTCACGCAGTAAAGTTCAACACATATTCGAATGCGTCTGCGGCTGCGCCCGTAATATTGCACGGCTCAAGGGTACGTCATCAGCCGACGTGAACGTTGACCCGCTGCTCTGGTGATCCGAAAAGGCGAGACGTGGCCTCGCTGTGCTGATTCAGACTTCGTACACCTGCGACTCGTCTCGAGCGCGCTGTTTCTCGGAGAGCTTGCACCTGTGTCGGCAATATCAGATTGCAATCCACGAGGTCTCTGTTTGAATGATGCTAAGCAAAATTTGAAGACTGCAATCCATGCGTCGCTGGTGGAGGGTCGGCAGGACAGACCTTCAAAAAAGGGATGCCAGCTTATCGTTTTTTCAACCCTAACAGATGATAAGAGATGGGTTCCAGGATGCTTCAGGTGGTCCACTATTCTCAAAAATTCCAAATGACACTGCCTGCACAATGTTGAACTAGGTAACCTACAACGAAAGTACGTATTGTCCTTTCATACAACAGCGTGGTAAAGTTTCATGTTCAAGGCCACACCTACATATAAAGAATACCAGTTCATTCCACCGTCTTTTCGCATCCCTCGTCAGACAGACAGGACGTCAGTGAAGGGACCGCGGCCAGTCCTTGATGGGACGTTTTTTTGAGCCCCTTGAAGACTCCTTGTCGTCCGAAACCACTACCTTGAAGCCAAAGTGCCAAGCTTACGGGAAACTATTTTCGGGATAAAAACCTTTCATTTCAAGCTTCATCTCAGCTGGTGCGTCAAACAAATTTGAAAAATGTATTGCAGATCAGTATTTTGGTATTTGTATTTCTGCCCTCCCTAAAATATATTCCCGTATTTGTATTTCCAAAGTCTTTTTGCCTCTTTTTAAAATGTATTTCCGATAAGTATCACGATACAGTTTTACAGATATATTTTAGTATCAGTATTTTAGCTACTACTTTAGTGAATCTCAGTATTTGTATTTCCAAATACATTTTTCAGTATTTCTCCCCAACCCTGTACTTCACATCAAGTACATTGTGCGCGCTGCACTTCCTACTTAAAGGAGATAACCTATCGTTTCCTTTATTGTTTAACTACTTTTTAAATGTAGTTTGCCGCACGCTGGTTATCTTTTTTTTTATTATTATTATTTAGTTCGCTCGACGGCGTTTTCTGGTGCCTGCGATAGTTCCGAGGTAATCGTTTTTTGCTACCGATTTTAATAGAGAAATCTGCCGCGCATGAATTTAATATTTGGTTTTCTATGATGCTGAGGCTAGAGCCCATAGATTGAGGACCATAAATAGTCTATCACAGAATATGGTTACTGGTCAATGTGCGTAATCATGTCTCGTTAATATAAACGCCGTAGATATGAGTACCCCGCCATATGAAGAAAAAAAAAATGTCGGGGACGATTTGATTATATACATACATTTTTTCTCGCTTATGGGCAACTCACATTATAGACGATATTTTTTTTTGTGAGGGGGGAGGAGGGGTCTTTGTAAACCAGTCATGACTGTACAGTTTGCCGCGTTCTTCGACAACTTTTGTTGTTGGTGCGTATGCCCTAGATGCGATGCTTGCTGACAACTAGCCTCAGAGCTGCAGGGCGTATTGAAATGTCCTCACGGAGTAAAACCACGAAGCAAAACCAGGGACCTGATCGGCCTATTGGAATGTCCCGCTCTTTGGCAACCAGGAGAAGACGGTGACCCTGCTTATTGTTTGAGATAAGACTGCCGGTGGCAGTAAACAGAGCAACGCAGACGGCGACGTACCATGGACGACCACCGAGGACGGCGGCGGCACGAAAGCCACTGACGATATTTTCGGCTGTAAACAACAGTAGTTTTGGTGGCGAAAACAAATCCAACGCCGCGTGGTGGAGTGCTAGAAGCGTCGACACACGTCACGATAATCAGTGTGTAGAAGCACAACGCGAAAATAATGGCGTCGGTTCCGACAGGGACGTAAACCACCAAGCAAATCTATCGCCGCCAGCCTCTCCATCTCGAGGTGACGTCCGTGTACGCGTGAAACACTGCAGATGTGTACGCAAACTTTTGCTGTCAGCCGAGGGCCTTTGCGAACTTGACGAATGCTTGTGACGACCCCCGGCTGATCATTGGGCAATGGACCCCACGTGCCTTTCACGGGTTTTAAAACTATTGGTTAACCTATGCCCGGGAGAGAGGAGGTAAGGGTCCTCAAAGGCCGTTGCCCGAGCGAGAGGAGTGAATTTTGACGGAACTTTGGGAGTTGTTTGAGGCATCCTGCCCCAAAATGTCAATCCCCTACTTTGTACATAGCCAGTGTACATAGTTTGTAACTGTAAATAAACAGATGGAACTCTAACTCGCCGAGCTTTCATCATCTGCGGAGTACCTCATCGACCGCCGGGCCATGCTCAACCATCGCAGGCCCAACTCCAAACTATCAACGAACAGTTTCTATTACTAAAAACATAGATGTCAACATTAGATTATTCGCAGACGATTGAGTTTTATAAAAATAAGTTAAGTTCTATAAAGACCAAATAGTTTTGCATAATTGCGTAGAGAGGATACAGTCTTGGTGTCGGGAAAGGCAAATGCGGCTGAATATCTCAAAATCTGTTCAATGTCCGTTACTCGGAAATAGAGTCCCCTGGAGTTTTCCTATTGCATTGATGGACAACCTATTCAACGCGTCAAAGAGTACAAGTACTTGGGGTTATTTTTTAGTGATAAACTCTTATGGGACAAACACATTGATTACATTACTAAGAAAGCGACCGAGCGGCTTTGGGCCTTAAAACGTCTCTTGAGGTACACTCTAAAAAAAGCCCGTGCGGCTACTTTCCCTCACAACACTCATAGAGCCAATCACCGACTCTTACGGAGGTAGCTCAGCGACTGACGATCCCGAAACATATGTTTAGACCGAAAAAACGCAGTCTGAGTTGTGATATTAAGCAATGCAAGCGTTACGTTTTGCATTGCTTAATGTCACAACTCAGACTGCGTTTTTTCGGTCTAAACATATGTTTCGGCATCGTCATTCGCTGCGCTACCTCTGTAAGTTGCGTTGATTGGTTCTCCGAGTGTTGTGAGGGAAAGTAGCCGCACGGGCTTTATTTAGAGTGTACTCTTCCCCCAGCACAAAACTTACTGTCTATAAAACGATATTAAGGCCAATTTCCGAATGTGCAAATGTTGTCTGTGACCCGTTCCCTAAAATTAATATTAATGAGCCAGAAGGTGCAAAAGGAAAGCAATACGGCTTGTTTACAACAAATATGAAACGCAAAGCTCCCCCTCATGAATGTTGCAACAAGCTAACCTGCTGACATTAAGCGAAAGAGCGCGGATAGATAGATTAAATATACAATTTTTAATGGTTCAGGGCACATTAAACATCGACACTTCGAGATACATTACATTATCAGGCCAATTAAACACCAGATCGTCTCATGCTCGTCCAATACCGGAGTATCCAGTTTGATTGGACACATTCAAATACTCCTTTTTCCCTAGAACCATTGTTGAATGAAACAAGCTGCACGCTGACCTCACCAATTCAGTCACTATTGACCATTTCATCAATAAAGCCACTGTATTTTTTCAAAATAAATTGAAATTTATTGTTCTCACGTTGAGATGACTCGTTTATAGTTATTGTTTTGTGCTGGGTGTCAAATAAATTGCGTAATGTTTTAGGCCACATTTCTGCACGCTGATGTCACCAATTTAGACTGTATGTCTTATTAATATTTATTGCTTTGTATGCTAGATGCTATACTATATATTGTATAATGTTTTAAGCCATATTATCTCTGGTTTTCGATTGTATTTTTTCTTATTTTTTGTATTGTTGTGCCTCTGCTGCCATGGCCCTTTGGGCCAAATAGTATTGTTAAATAAATACATAAATAAATACTTAAATAAAACGTATGTGGCGACTGGCGGCCTTGTTTAACTCTTGATGGAACGTCGTACAGCTTGTGCCACGTCATTTTAACTGCCTTAATGTGTGAGGTAATTACGTAGAGAAGTAGACGTATCCACTACATCCCTCTTATATTTGTTTACCCGAAATGTTTTTATCAGAAGTGTGAAAAAAAAGCCAGTTCTCGTACCTGTAACTTTCTCCTGCAATTCCCTCGTGACCGTGATATGGTACATAAAATAAATAAGTAAATAACAGAGCGCCCCGTCGTGTTTTCTTTGTTTCTAAATTAGCTGTTATCGTGTTTTGTCCCTTTCGGAGCGTTCGCTTATTGAGGTTATTTTTTCCACACGTATGCGCGAAATTAAACCTCGAAACAACAGTTATTCGCTGCTAAAAAAAACGGAGGTGCACATGTCCTACAACTTCTAAAACCCATGCCAACACTTTGTTTGTCATGTTTCTTTTTATTGTAAGCTAACAGCAGCCCTCGTTTCACCGAAGCTTGGCAATAATCGAATTAAGCTTCGACCACCACGAGCCAATCGGAGCGACGGAGGCGAATCTCTTGACAGCCCTTATCAAAAATACACGGGCGAGAGCGTCACCCAAGCGATTGGAGAAGAGGGGAAGGAGACACTCCCCTCTTACCCGGGCCATCTTCTGGGTGTTCCAGACCTCGTATTTGTCCTCTTCGGGAAGTGCCCTCTCACTCGAAAATTGTAGAAAAAGCAGCTTTCCTCTTCCTCCTGCTCGTGGCTTCGGCAGCACCGCGGGCTACTAAGAGGGACAAGGTGCTTCCTCGAAGCCGTTCACCCTTTCCATTTTCGCAGAGTGAACGCCGGAGAGGAGGAAAGAAGGATCTCGCCTCTTCTACATTGTTCACCCTGCTAAGGTGGAACGAGTGGAGGACCTCGAGGGAGGGGCCTGTCCCGGCCACTTGTCATCAACTACAAGGAGATACAGTAAGCCACGTGCGTCTCTACGGCCCGCTTATTGGTTCACTGGGACCATAGCTTTCGCCGTGTGCCAAGCTGAGGCAGCGTCCTAGTTTGCTTTTGATATCTACCCACGCCCTGGCATTGCTACACACGGTGCAAACATTTTACGACTGATACGGGGCTTGCTCATTGCTCCCCGGTGTCGACTTCCGTTCCGGGAAGCTACGGTTCGGGTATAAATAGCTCACCTGTTCTGGAGCCGGGATGTACTCCAACGGCGTGCTCCGAGAGACCATCGCCATGAAGAAGTTCCTGCTGACTGCTGCTCTATCGACGCTCTACCTGGCTGCTGCTGTTGCGAGACCCGGTACGTACTGCGGGGACCTTCGAGTCTGATAAAAAAAATCTACACGCGATTATAGACCTTTGCAAAAGTCGCCTTCTGAGGGCTGCCATCTTTGTCTGCTGGGCTGTGGAACGCCTTCTGATCATGCGCTTTTGCTCTGCTGTGCGGTACATCAAGCCCTGCGCATGCGTCCGTAGCTCAGTGACTCAGCAGTTTTCACCCGGGTGATGAGCGATGCAGAGGTCTATAGTCCATCCCGTTTCACCTTAGGGAGATTTAGTAGATCGTTCCGATATAACTCCGATAGCGACACCCGCGATACTTCGGCGGCGACCCCTATTGCGCATGCGTCGACGTTTTACGTCATCGAGTATTGTTACCGGAGGGAGGCATACCGGAATGATCCGCTAAAACTCTCCATCGAGTCCGAGTGCGCAGCTGGCGCTATACGAACCGACCGGGCTATTCAAGCGGCGCTGAAAGTGCACCGTCACGGCTCCCGTCGCTTTCGTACGTTTGCCATATCTCTGGCTAAACCAATCAGGCACAGTGAATGCTGAGTGGTCTTGCTTTCTGTTTTTTCCTTCTATAGACCAGTGTCCGCGCCAATTCCAGGGCGCCGCCATGTTTATCTACGCTCGCGCCACCACGCGGAAAGAACTGGCAGGCAGGGAGGGGGGGCTGCGTTGGCGGCGTTGCTTTGGGTAGCTGGATGCGGCACGCTGTCCGAATGCACCGACACATCGTGAAAGATGTCTTCACCAGAAGCCTCTGCGGCCCGTTCTTCAACAGGCAAGATGTCGTGAACATTCGAGAACCCATCTCGATCAAGGAAAATAAGGGAAAACCTTTTTTCTCTTAGATGTTCTCGGTGTCTGCTGACCCTTGACATCCGCGTTTCAGTCCGGGTTCATTGCGTAGTAAATATTTCGCTACCGCTTTCTTGTAGCTTTCAAATGCTTGATTGTTGGCTTCTTGTATACGACACTACATTCGTGGCACGTTTGAGACTGATTTTCGCGATCTGCTTGCCTTTCTGAGGCAGCGCGGCTCTGCCGAGCCGAAATAAGTGGGAGGCGTTCACTTGATCGAACGCCGTTTTAGCGAATGAAAACGAGACGACGACGTTTCATCGAATGACTAGCGAATGGGTCTAGTTACATAGACAGCTCGGATTAGCTTTCTTTTGTGATGTGGCGCCTTGTCTGCCGCTGCGAAGCGGCGTAAACGAGGGCTCCGAGTATGTTAGCACGCGTCCCCCCCCACACACACACACAAACACACACTGCGAGCGTCTGGGTTCGAAACTATTAATTGCCAGTTCTAAAGGATGGTACTTACTTGAAGTGGGAGCTGGAATTCTACGACGGACCAGGAGACACTTACTATCGGGCAACGAAGCACGGTGCCTGTGGGGGCGGAGTCTAGGAACGCTACTGATTAATATTGTGACAGGCGATCAGTTATGATAGCAGACGAAACTTCGACTCGTTTGTTCAGAAGTTCGCGGTGATATTTTATTAGCCCTCGTTACAGCACACCAAGGATCTTAGGCAGTGAAATTCACATCACACAGGCTCGTCCGTCGTAGTCAAATGAGCGCAGTCGACGATGAGGTGTAATAAGCTACTAAGCTTCACAAGGAAAATGCGCGTGAGAAGAGTTTTGAGGAAGTCCAAAACACCGATCCAGCAGACGCACGTACGTACGTTTACTCCGGACTTCATGAACCCGACGGCGCAAGATCAAAGAGCACCGCCGCCATCGCCACCCGGTTTTCTCCGCACTTTGCGCGACGACGGCACTGCAACGGAGGGCACTCGCCTCGGCGTTAACAATCCGCGAAATAGATTCATTTCCCACTCTTGAAGCCATTCCAGATGATAAATGAAATTACCTCGGCGTTGTTAAACATCTGACGACACAACCAACACAACTGTGCCGCTGGCTGCGTGAGCCTGACACAACTGTGCCGAGCGCCTGCTCGGCGCCGTTGTTGCTCGTGAAGACCTGCTTATTTGTAGTTGAGACGATGATTCCACATCTTTCGCGGTGCTTGCAATAACTTCGAAGGGCAGGGGAACCTTCTCACGAGGACGTTGAAGACACTCAACACCGGAGCCACCAAAGCAATCGCACAAACCGTCGCCATGTTTGCTTCTTCGTCACTCGCGGCGCGGTCAACTCGTCGCGAGATGTTTTCTGGCTCGGCTAGATGAAAACCAACAGCGGCAAAGTGGCGTATGGACACACGGCTCTCACATTACGGGCACTATACTCACATACCGCGGTAAACAGGACCGATGCCGGCGAAACGGCAGTCGGCACACCAGCGAAGAAGCCCTCAACGGGAACCGGCGGCGCAGGCCGACGCAGCCCCCCCTCCCCGTGAGCGTCTGGGTTCGAGATTATTGTTCGCTTTTGCTCCTTGCGGTCGAGGCGAAAAAGAGCACTTCCGGACAAAGGTCTATACACCTTTTCCGCGTAGTCGTCGCCATCTTGCGTGTTGCAGCGACAGCCGCGCCGTCTGGCGTCTGGCGTACGGTTGTTGTGCGCCCATTTTGGTATGCGGAGAGCAGCGTTGTTCCTAGCTCCCGCGTTGTCCCCATTGACCCCGTGCATCGTATCTTCATTGTTTTCCTTTTAGTGAGTTCTTAATTTGTTTGTTATTGAAAGTGTGAATTACTCTTGTGTTCTGGCGTGTTTATTCGCCCTCATGGCGCCCGTTGTTGCGCCAACAGCTCCGAGAGGTTCGTCGCCAGCGTCGCCGGTTATCGAAATCGGAGGCATGTTCACTTTTCCTGAGGACGTTTACCAGTGTTTACTCTTCGCGTGTTGTTTTTTGTGAAGAATGACTGCCTTCTGCGAATGACTAACGGAGGGTTTCTATGCGCGAGCGAGGGCGACCCTGGGCATAGAAGTATCATCGTTTAATCGTAGAAATACTCACAATGGGAGTTGGCGACGCGGGCCGAACGGTTTATTGTTATGGTGCACCGTCGAGGTACGATCGCTAGTACCGGGACATCTCTACTTCGTATGACGCCCAGATGCTTCGGAACTATTCAGGAGATGGGGGTGAAAGGGGGGGGGGGGGGGGGGGAGACGACGACGATTTTGCGCCCTCTTTTTGTATTGTTTCCATTAACGTACTTTAACGGGCGTCGCTACCGAGCAACACACAAAATTATAGTGCACATCCTCGTAGGAATGAACGGAATGAAAAGCAAAACATGAGTAGACAATAACAATCATTACACCCAGGGTCTTACATTTGCACCACAAGCTGCAAAATTCGTTCTGCATTTGTCTTATCGAGGCCTGTTACTGCACTTGTAGATGTCCGTTTCTATACTGCCTATTTGCTTTTTTTTATGTGCTGATATTGCATAGCTTCCCCGCTGATATCAGCGGGGAAGCGATGCAAAATGTATACGTTACAGCCGCATTCGCTTTGCGGCTTCTTGTGTTCGGTGCACAATTTGTCGCGCGCTATCTTCCGTTTTCGGAAATTGATACTGCAGCATAACGACTGCGCAGTGGCAGCCCGATGACCAAATATGCGCGGACATGATACACCGACGTATAACCCACGTTATTACAACTCACTTTGCTGTCAAGGGCTTCAAAACCCATTTAACGCGCACCACTTCAGCATCTTGCCAGCCTGCTAGGCCTGCTCCCGCATACCGGAAGTGTTAGAACCGGAAGAACTATTCCCGCTGTGCGCCGAGTCGCCGAGTCGAGGCTACGCACGTTACGCGCTGGGTCGAGGTTAGACGGAAAAGGTGTATAGGCACATAAAGATAATCAGCGTCGTGACGTTGCACTTCCGGGGCTGTTTGATAGGCTCCACAGATCAGGGCGACGACTGCGCGGTGGGACTGAGAACGGACTATATATAATCGTAAAAGTGCTTTTAGTGGTTGTTTATAATTTCCCCAAGATAGCAGCGGAGGTTCTAATAAGCTAATTATCTTTTCTGTTTCTAATTGTTGAATAAACTACGGCGTGTCAGGTAGCGCTTAAAACTAATGTTGCAGCTTACCAAGAATACTGGAACGAAGAAAAAAATGTTAACCGTAAGATAAAAGTTAGGCGAATGTACCGATTATGAGCAAGTTGAGGTGGACGGACGGATGGATGCTAATGGCTGTACCCTCTATAGCAGGCGGTAGCTTGCGCCACCTAGCTTAGAAACTAAAGGTTTGATTCATCTCCTCGTTCTTCTAAACAAGTTAGCACGGCGCTGAATTTCAGCGCATGCGCAATGTGACACCCCACGTGTTGGTGCCCTCCCCCATTCCATAACGCAGCATTGGACCGTACCGCGACCTCGTTCCTTCTCAACCGTGATATTGAGGTATACTTATACCGTTCCGTGTGTTCGATATATAGCGATAAAAAACGAAAATTAACCCCCGAGGCGGTTTTCTCTGAATCGATAAAATCCAAAAAAAGAAAAAAAAAAAAAAAAAAAACAACAAATTTTAACTGTCATTGAAGAGAAAACCGAACAAGAAAGACGCCAGCTTTACGGGAAAATTTTTTTTATCCATTTTTGTTCTCGTTCACCCGGAACGCAGCTTCACTGAAACATCCGTTCTCTTGTCTTACCAGCCTTACTCGAGAAAATGTTATGAATTATAGCGTACAAATTATAATAGTTTCTGCGGTAATTATAAGTCGCTCTACGACAGAAGCACAATAAACACCGATTTCTTTCCGGTATTGAATTAGACACCGGAAAACGTCGATTCAAATGAAAAAATAAACAGCGATAAATATCCCCCTCCCCCAATTTAAAGAAAAATAGACACCGAAAACGCGGAACCTTATAGTCATGCCATATAGCAAACAGTGCTATCCATTGTATACTTTCGCGGAGAATATATGATCTTAAACAATCCTTCGCGCTTCTTTTGCGTACTTGCCAGTTTTTGAGATAAGTGTAGTGCAAACAGTGTTGTACGCACGTTGTTCCAAAACCGGAACGAATGGCCGTTCCTCCTCAGTCTTGGAACGAGATCCCGTTACAAGTTCCGGTGGTTCGAAAAGAACGCGTATCGGTTCCATTTCTTTTCAGATTAGAACGTGTGGTTACGCTAACGTTACGTTCACGCATTTGAACTAAATGTTGCGCCGGATAATTCGTCAATAAAATAAAGCCAGCGAGGGAAAATGTCCACAAAAAATATCCCTGTCGCTTCGCCACGACCATATTTGTAGCAGTTTTTAGTTCTCGGCTATCTCTCGGACAGCTCTCCATCATTCGAAGTCGGAAGTTGATATAGTGAGTAATAAAAAACGCGCAAATGTCAGCTATATTCGGGTCAAACTGCAAATATATAGACAAAAAAAAAAAAAAAAAAAAAAAGAAGGATGCCGTTTTTTTTTGCCGTTTCGTCGACAACGTAACTAAGGTTCTCGCGAATTTTTGTCGAACCTTGATTTTTACGTCGAACCTTAGGTTCTCCGAAACTTTGACCTTATGGACAGTGTTGCCCGGTTTGTACACGAATATCTTGAATTTCGGGAAACAAACAATTTAGAATGCAGTTCATTTTATGTTTTATAAAATGGTTAACACTGTTTACACCATATAAAAACGAAAAATATGCGCTTTTAGTGCTTTCTTTGTTTGGTAATGTGAACCAGTGATGCCAATACATCCAAAAAATACTGCACTTTTTCTCCCTCTGCCAAATAAAGTCAACTTTTCTTTATTATCATGTTTGCGCCTGCGCACAAAATTCGAACTTCAGTCGAACCTTTCTGTAACATTAATATGAAAGTTCGAAAAAAGTCGAACTTGGTCGAACTCGAACCTGGGCAGGTTCGCGGCCATCCCTAAACGTAACGAGCTCGCGTTCCAGCGATGCAAGAGGGAACGGCGGCGTTCCTCGGTTCCTCCTGAAAAGGAACGCGTTTCAGAAAAGTCGTTCCTTTGGAACGGCGTTCCGCGCACGACACCAAATCCGAATGAGGAATGGGTCGCGAATTTGAGGTTCCACGGTTGGGTCTATTTGACGAACCGAAAGAGAATAGGACTCGTACGCATCGGGTGAATAAGCGTTCTAATTACCTTCTCTTTTTGCTTTGCAGACCGCAACGCAGAGCTCTACCAAAGCCGCGAGGATGCGGGCGTCGGGGTAAGGTCGCCTCATTTCGAGCATTTGAAAACTTCGCAAATTGTGCGATAGCTGCATCGGTGACCACCGGGAAGTCACATTTTACGGTCTTCAAGAAACGTTAGAACAGTTCACAAACAAAGCCAAATGATATCAACTGAGCTTGGTATATCACCGTGTCAAAAGTTGAGGAAACCGTATTTTTGGATTATGGCGATCGACAGTTGCGTCTACTCTGCTCTAAACACCGAAATGGCGGTGCCCACTTACACATCGGGGAACGGAGTGCCGATACTCTAATACCCCTGTTATACCCAAGGTACACGGGCACACTTAACCGCGGTTAAACCAGCTTTAACTGCGGTTACGTGGCAGCACAGATGCCGCACTATGCCCTCAGACAGCTATTTCAAAAGAAGTGAAGAGAGCGCGTGCACTGCTTCGATGGGTGCTCAAGATGCTCAAGCGCACGTTCGCCCATAGCTCTGACTGCATCGCCGCAGAATGTTGTCGGCAAGTATTGCGCGCTAATTGTGGTTTAGCGTAACTGCAGTTAAGTGTGCCCGTGTAACAAGGGTATAAGCGGGCACTACTCTAAGCATAGCTCATGTAGTGGCTCTATCTCGGACGACATGCGCAACGGCGCAAGCCATAACAAATTAGGTGATTCCGATGCCGTGCACCGCCGGCATCATGCTGGGAAAAACCTGTAAAGTTGCCAGACACGCGAGTAAAATACCGCCAATCGCAAAGAGATCCCACGCCAAGGCGGGGGGAGCGTTTGTGCACCCCGAGAAAAAGATCCGCCATTCCCCTAAGTTGTCTACGTCAGCGCGGCGCCGCGCAAAACCGTGACGTTGTTACCACGTGACGCGCATCCCGGTGTGCAAAGTAAGGGGCTTCTTCCCTGTGTGAATACCCCTTTACGAAGCCACTCAAATCCATATTGCTACGTTTTTATTTTTTTTGTGTGAGGCAGTTAGTGTCACAAGACACTTTAACGTTCCGTGACGTCACGAAGCCAGTCAAATCACAATGTCACGTGACGTGTTAACTTAACGTGATGTGATATTGCCGCATGACTTCACAGTATAAAGTGACGTCATGGTGTAACGTGGCATCATGTTGTCAAGTTATAGTTTCCCGTAAAGTCATGATGTAAGGTGACACTTTGACATCGTAAAGTCGACACCACGCACAACACAAAACTCCCCGGGGCTATAGCCCTGCATACGTTATCAAATTCAAAATAGAAGGGCTCGATTGAGCTAACACCAGGTTTTTTTGGGCTACGTTCTGCAACTCGAAAACCCGCACTCCTCCCAGGACCCTTCTGTCTACAGCGACGACTGCCGCAAGCGCCACGACTACTACAGGGCGAAGCACGGAGTGCCTGGACTGAAAAACGATGACGATGTATGTTTTTTTTTTATTTAGAGTCTTCATGAAATACCAACTATGACCACTCACAAAATTGGAACGGCAGGGAGGTTCTTTAGCTGTCGTGCCCCAGTCGCGAGCTTCCTGCCTTCCATAATGCTCGGCGTCATATGAGCCTCTAGCGTGCACAGCAGTCAAAGAACGGCGGAAGGCGACACGCATGTACTGCAGGCATGGGCATCTGAAAAAGACGCCTTAAGGAATACTCATTCTGCTGGTAACTCGCAATTTTCAAAGCAATAGAATGGGATATGTTAAGGCTTACCGAAGCTGCACTTACGCGCGCTTACAGAATAAAAGTAGGCAGTCGCTATTGCGATATTGTTTATAGATAATATTTACCGTGTTCGATGATAGTTGAATCACTTAAATGATCGCTGAATCAGCGTTTCCAAACCAACTGCAGGATTGACCTTTATAATAAGGGTGTAGAATGAGATAAACAAGTTGTATGATAAATAAACTAAACGGGGATGAATGCTACTGATTAAAAAATTGCACAAAAATGCTTTAACGCTTTCTAGACGGAAACGATAGAAATACAAATGCAAGCTTGATCACGCTTACAAAGACTGGTAAGCACAGGATGAGTGATAGGCCTCCCAGAGAAGAAGAGAAGGGCCTCTGAATGGCACCGCCTATCAAAGATTCGCTCTCGTTTCTAAAACGCGTCGTGAGATGGCGCCACATGACAGGAAAGGCCACGAAGCACGCGACCGCACCTTCACGCGATGCGCGACGGAGATCGCTGTTGACTGCCCCGCCCCAAACCGATTAGTTTTTATAGTTTTGTCAGCAAAGCACTTGGCTCACAATCTCAAGGTGGTCAGTTGAAATCCTGCCGGGTGACTGGTCTTTTCATGTGGTTCCCTGTAAGCGTACTGCTTTTGAGTGTCGGTTTTTTGTTACAGCCGTACGCTAAACAACTCGATGAAAATAGGCTTATGAGACATATTGTGTGTTAAAAGACAATCATAGTTGGTGTCGGACTGTACGACATAGCCGGTATAGATTCAACTGCGCGTACACACTTGCAAACACACATACAGGGAAATATTTAAAAGGCAGCGCTGATGCCTTCGCGCAATAAGTACAAGTTTTTGGATGTTTATACATGTACAATGTTACTGCCAGGTTTGACAGCTAAGAAGTGGTTTCTCTTTTGTTTCTCTTCGTACGATCCAGCTTCGCCTCTTGGCTCAAGACTGGGCAGATCATCTAGCCGCACAACCAGAGGGAACACCTCTTGAACACCGTCCAGATAACCAATACGGCGAGAACATCTTCTCTGCATGGTCCTCCGACCCCAGCTACACGATCGATGGTATGCACACGGATGTCTCTTTGGTCTGGGCTTTTAAAGATACCGGGTGTTTTTTTTAGGCTTTACAGATTTGTTTATCAATAAAAACTGGGAAAGCTACACTAATGCTCTTTGTGAAAGCGAGTTATACGGCCACGGGAACATAATATAGGAGGCTGATCATGGGCGCATGGTTGATGCGTTAAAGTTACCACTCCTGCAACGGGTGCAATGCTGGCGGTGCGAAAAACACGAGTGATGAGAGACGGAGAAATCGCGCGGGCGCATTTTCGCTCCACCTGCCTTGCGCTCGTTGCACTTAAGCCCATCACCGCGCGCCTCCCACGCTCCCGAAGTCTTGCGAGGACTTACTTGTTCAGTGGTTGTCGACGATGCTCAGCAAGTTTCTGATTGCAACCGCATTTTTTATCAATTAACAATTGAATTGATATATTTTAGTAATTAACCGAATTATGCTGACGATTATGCCCCTGTTTTATGTACCCCTGACCATAGAAGTCACCCGCACAGAGAGCGTTAGTGTAGCCTTCGCGGCTTTTTTAAATACAAATCTGTTTTAAAGCACCTTGCCTATAGAAGGGACCTTGTGTAGAAACAAGTCAGATCTTTCACACACCAGGTGTCAGCACTGGGCGAACACCGTGTCGACAGCTGCGCCACCGCAGCAAGAAAAACTTAAAAGCATAAAAAAAAAAAAAAAAAAACGGGGACACTGGGAATACAGAAGTCATTCCTTCTGAACAATGTCTACCTCGACAGATGTCAGACAGAGAGGGTAAAGTGATAGTTAGCAAATTAATTTCCTAAAATATACTACTTAGCTAACTTCTTAAATATTCGCTTTAGCTGGCACATTCCTATTAACACCGGGTACCCGAGAATCTGGGTGAAGCCTTTAATGCGACCGCATACATCGGCTTGGTAACGTATTGTGCAACGATTTAATACAGAGGTGGGTGGAGCTGGTGGGAAGCATCGCATCAAAGTTTTAAAGAACGAACTTACCTGAGTTAAAAAAGTAAAAGAACATTAACCGGATTTTCTCTACCTTTGGCGCCCGTCTGCTCACCGCGCACCCGCTGACTGGAGCGAATAACCGACAGATGGCGGCAGAGGCACTTCGGGAACTTGGGGACCTTCCAACTGCGGCTGCAGCTCAGAAACCGACCTGTAGACACAAAGCATGGTATCCCTTGAGGCGAGAACAAAGAGACTGGACAACACAAAACGCTGTAAGAGGATGGGCAACACACAGCGCTCCGTGTTGTTTAGTCTCTTAATTTGTCCTCGTCTCAAGGGCTACCATGTTTTTGAACACACAGTACCATGCGAAAAGTGCAGTGTCGCTAAGCTGCGGATCCTTGCTCAGCGTCTGATAGACCGCACAACAGAGTTACAGCGCACGCTCAGAAGCCGTTTCACAGACCAGCGCGGCAAAGATGGCCGCACGCACAAGGCAATTTTCGGAAAGGTGTTTAGGAAAAGCTACCGACCGGTTGTTCTGCACTGTAAAAGCTTTGCTTTAGGCATGCTTCTTTCTATGTACAAAAAAGAAATCTTACAATTTTATTTTTGGACGTCGTGCCTTTTGTTATCGTCCACACGGCTGTTCTTATGCTGGTAACTTAAAGGTACACACTCGGCACTGGGGCAGCCAGAACGCAAGGTAGCCGTCGTGACATTCTGCCGTCATCCACCAGCACGCGAGCTTGATAGGCATGGTAACAACTGGAGATGTGTGCAAATACCGGTTCGAATCCAAGAGCGCACTGTCATTCCTAGCTTTAACACTGTTAAGAAAACCGGTTGCCGTGGACTTCTCTTCCCCTGCGAAAGTTTCGAATGACGAAGTGCCATTCTATTCGTACCGGTATTCGCACACTCGTAGTAACAACCTAACAAAGGTAGAGCGTGGCTCTACGCTTCCACGCTTCTCGCCTCGTGGTTGGTTCTTCGACCCTCTTGTCGGCTGATGCGGCAATCTGGTTGGCCGAGGGGCGATAAGACGAGTCCTGCGAGACGCCGCGCATACGGCCACAGCTCAGAGCCTTTTTCGCGTTCAAGTCCGTTCAAACCTCTCCCCAACTCTTTCCTTTTTCCCTTTAAATACTTAGTATTCATATGGTCAGCCTCGGGCATTTTGGATCGTCACAGTGTTACATGATATGTCGCCACGTGATGCATTGCTGTCACGTGACGCTATGACGTCATGGTGTCACTGACGTCATCGGGTCACGTGACATTATCACGCCACGTGACGTCACAGCATTACGTCACACTGTGACGGCTTTATATATTCGCAGAAACCCCGCAACATGGCCCTGCCCCTGAATGGCCTCCTCACAAAAAAGTAAACGGTACAAAAACGCACCTTAATAATTCGATCTCATCGTCATATGCACAAAAATGGGTACAAATGAAATAAAAGTGTTATTATTAATGTACATTAGATAAAACCGAATAATCCGGATAACCGAAAAACATGCTTTGAAAGCCGAATTCGTTTTCTTCCGGTTCAATCGGATATCCGGTTTGACGGACGGTTGCATCCTCTAGTAAAAATGCTACGCACCATGTTGAACGCCTCTAGAAAATGCCAACGAGACAACCGATTTTCTTCTTGGTTTTTCTATTTTTTAATAGTAATAATAATAATAATTTTTATTGGCTCAGAGGAGCCGTGGCACCGCGGAAAGGCGACAGCCTGTACCATGGAGACCCGCGGCGCCACGTTTAGTGATGATGATTATGAGATACGTACAAGCGAAGGACGACGACGTATAGAATTTTTTTTTTCGCGCAGCAAACGCTCCCGTGGATTACTGGTACAACGAGATCAAGGACTACGACTACGCCAATCCGGGCTTCTCGTCAAAAACGGGACACTTCACCCAGGTCGTCTGGAAGGGCACCACAAACTTGGGATGCGCCGTAAGCAAAGCGGCTTCCCGGAGCGCATACTTTGTCGTCTGCAACTACAACCCCCCGGGAAACGTTGAGGGGCAATATGAGCAGAACGTGCCCCCAGTCTTACCCGACTGAGCGAGACATCGAGCGGCTGGACCAGGGAACACCGTCTCGAGATCCAACCGTTTCGCCAACGTGCTGCTGCAAGAAGTAAACATCCACATGACATCGGTTGCCCCGGGCGCACGTTGCGAAGCATGAATCTCGACGACGAAAGCCTGTTTCCGGCTGATCTGCACTCTCCTTATTAAATGCGTGTTTTAGTTTTGTGTCTGCTAAATGTTGTATTGTGTCGTTTCACGTGCGTATGAACTCAGCAAAGCGAGGAGTGTCCATTTGAATGCTCCCATAATCTCAGAGCAGTGATTTGTAGAACCGCGGGTCCTACACTTTTTTCGGTATCTCGCACAAGCCATAGCTTTTATATATAAAAACGTAATGTTGATTGGAGATTAAGGTTGAATAAAAAATAACCCGACTAAGTACCACCCTTTTAATCAAGTAACCCATCAGTTGATTTACCTTCAGGATATTATATATAAAATTTTAAAACCGCTCATTTTTTTCAAATTTTGATATGTCGTGAATGGCGTATTGCAGCACCCTTTGAAACTTACCTTGTGACACATTTTAAAAATTGAAGACATTTTTAAGCTAATATTTAAACATTATAATAACTCTCGATGACAATCACAAGAATGCGGAAGTCGTTTAGCGTGGAAGCCTGGATACCAAAAGAAATAAAGACCTAAAAAATAATAGATCAGGCATTTTAACACTATTTTTGGCTCGAGTTTCTCCAACTCAAAACTCTGATTAAGCGGCTAAAACATTTGATCGCAGTTAATCTATTAACAAGATAATCTGAAGGATATAGTCGATGAATTTCTCAGTTCTAATATATACGAGGCTAGAGCGATGGCTATCCGAAAGTCGGGTGAGAGTCGCTAGCCTTCATCAGTACAAGACTGTCGCTGCGGCCGATGTTGCCTGGTGCGGGTTGTTTGTTCGAGTGATATTCAGTGCTTCAGTATTTCGGAACCCGCCGCCGTCACCAAGAAGATCGAAGTTGGTGAATCCACACGGCTGAGCTGATGATCTAATAACAAGAACGCTTCTGTGTTGCCGGCTTACACTATGTTTATTCCACTTGCGGCAGATTTATTAAAACAGTTTGTTTCACTTCCCACGGTTGTCGATTCAACGAATAGTTTGCGGATCGTAATCATAGAAGTGACACTGGAGAGTTCAATACCTCTGATGCCTCCGATAACGATACGGTGCATGCGCAAAGGCGGCGGCGCAATATCGGGTATTGTTATCGAAGTCATCTGAACTATCTGCCGAAACTCTATAAAATTTCCTCATCTTAACGTTTTTTGCGACTCTGTCAAACCCACACACCCACACCACAACGCAGTAAGAAGAAACATATCGGCTGCAGCGGCAATGACTTTCCTACTCGTAGAGACAATAGCGGCAACACAGGAATTTCTAAAAACATTCAGCACTCTAGCTAAGTTCTCTGATTGCACAACATTCATCTTTCCGCAGGAACTTAAGGTTATGCGAGAAAAAACAAAAAACATCGCGTAGAACCTGCGATTCGACCACTCATATATTAAGTTAGAATCCGGTTTGGGATTCCTCGTTTTGTTGCTTCACCACTCTTGTCAAAAGATACAACTTTCTGAAAACAAACAATTCTTAACAAATAGTGCGGTTAACCAAGGGAAAGACATTCGTCCCGGTGATCCATGCTTTCTAACGTGCGTCTAGGGCAGAGGAGGCACCCACACAAGCGATCGTTTAAACTTGGGCCGTACGCTCATAACACAATTTGCTTTCTGGTGAAGCAGCGAACATACTGCACCATCCTCCCCTGAAATTATTTTTCCCAACGGTAACATTCGGCAAAATAAAGGCGAATATCTACAGTGTCTCCCCCGCGAACGTCGAGAGCAGTCATGTTGCGGCCATATACCTCTAGCCACACTACGATAGCTTGAGAAGTGAAGGGTGAGGATAGTTCTAGCAACGTATTATCGACGCGCAGCAAGTAGGTTATAAATTATAATGGCCCGGAGGTGGCGTCCCTTTGCCCAATGCACGGAGCAAGGTGTAACGAAAGTAGGCGCAGCCACGTACCCTTCTCTAATGGGGAGCTCGTCAATGGGTGCCGCCATTGATTTTTGGGGCAAACAACCCTCGTTGCCATGGCATTTTCGTGGCAACGCCGCAACGCAGTTGTTTGCCCCACAATTTTATGGCGGCGTCTACTGAATCGGTATCGAACAGGCAAGATTTGAAGCCCAACACGTGCCTGACCAGTAGGAAGTCGGCGTGTAGCGGACGCTCTCGACAACGCGCCAGGAGCGTCCTCTAGAACGAGTCGTCATAGCGCGGCTTTGGAAAGCGATCGCCGTGTCAGTCGTCGTACTCACGAACGCTGAGAATGGCATCGCGGGTTGAGAAAGCCGTACAAATCCTGCTTTCAGAAGGTGTTGGATTCACTCTGCCGTGATGAGAATGCGGGTTCGCATCGAAACATCTTTCGGTGCGCCGATCGAATCGAAAGCCAGCCGCGACAGCGAGCAGACAAAGCAGACCGCAGGCACGGAGCAGACGTCGACGTTACGACGGAGCATTTTCGATTCGATCGGCGCACCGAAAGATGTTTCGATGCGAACCCGCATTCTCATCACGGCAGAGTGAATCCAACACCGTCTGGAAGCAGCGTTTGTACGTCTTTCTCAACCCGCGGTGCCATTCTCAGCGTTCGTGCGTACGACGACTGACTTTCCAAATCCACGCTATGACGACTTGTTCTAGACGACGCTCCAGGCGCGGTGTCGAGAGCGTCCGCAACACGCCGACTTCCTACTGGTCAGGCAAGTGTTGGGCTCCAAATCTCGCCTGTTCGACACCGATTCAGTGGACGCCGCCATTGATTTCTGGTGCAAACAAAGCGGGTTGCCACGGAAAGGCCATGGCAACGAGGGTTGTTTGCCCCAAATATCAATGGCGGCATCCATTGACGAGCTTCCCATTGGTTGAGAAGAGTTCGTGGCTCCGCCTACTTCCGAGCATTGGACGTAGGGACGCCACCTCCTGCCCATTATAGCCTCCTTGCTAACTACCGAGCGGAGAGCAGACGATGGGAGCTTGGTTCAATTTTGTTTGGATGAGAGCGGGTCGGTGCGCGATGCATTCTGGGGTTGGGTGCTTTTTCCGGCGTCGCTGGGTATAACGTCAAGCCGGGTCCTGCCCTATTTAAACGTCTTTGACGCGCAGTCACTGAGATTGTGAAATCAGCCGTCAGTCATAAAACGATGTCGGGTTGAAATGTATATGATTTTGCAGAGGCGTGCTGGGCCTATAGTTTGCCCAATTACACTCGCACGGACCGCCACTGATTCGAAAGTTTCTATGTCGCGCTGAAATTGCGAGGATTAATGTTAACCCTCGCAAAGCTTAATGACGTAATTTTGGGATTGAAGCCACCCGCCTGAGGACAGTCGAGCGCGGCTCATAGATTGGACACGAGAACTCTGTGAGCGCTCGACTTAGGCTCGTAACAATCCATGCCTCGGCGAACACTCGGGTAACTACGTCCGAACCTCATCGACCCAGCCGCTGCGCGCAATCAGAACCAAATTTCACGAGTGAAAAAAAAAATTAATTATAAATAAATAAATTTAAAGCTGATTCGCTTCTTACACTCGGCCAAGAAAGTTCGCCCCGGCGTTGTCTCTGCCCTTGCATATGTTCCACGTGTATGATGTGATCCTGCAAAATCATACCCCAGTTCATTACTCTGCCATTGGTGTGCTTTTTTTTTCATTTCATTTTATTTATTGCACCCTTATATCGCCCTCAGGGGGCTTTACATAGGGGGGACAAACAGCAATATATATCAAAACTTACAAGGAAAACACGCACAAAAACAGTTTAGGTTAATTACGTGTAAAGAGTGGCAAGTGCGGCTCGAAACGGCTCTGGGCATTTCTATTGTTATATGTAATCGGGGAGTGAATTCCAGTCGGTAATAGACAGCTGTAAAGGTCAAAACTTGTAGATCTTAGTCCTTGCGTAGTGGTGACGTGAAGTTTCCGTGTGTTGTCTGTGCGTGAGATGTGGATGGCGGCTCAGCAATACTTATCTTTTTTGGATGGCGAATGGTAGTAAAGCTGGTGCAGGGCAATCAACCGTGACACTTTCCGACGGTCTGCAAAAAGTGGACGCTGAAGTTGCTGTTTTAATGCTCTAATGCTTGTGCGGGTGAAGTTACGAAGTATGAAGCGAGTAGCTCGGTTTTGTATGGCTTCTAACTTATCGATTAAATGTGACTGATACGGATTCCAGATGAGAGATGCATATTCAAGCTTGGGTCAAATGAGAGATAAATATGCGATTAGTTTAGTGTCCCGTGTTGCAAGGTAGAGGTGTCGCTTTAGGAAACCAAGTGTTTTGTTAGCCTTTGCAGTAATGTAATTTATGTGAGGTTCCCATGAAAGATTGCAGGTGAAGTGAACCCCAAGATATTTGTATGTTGAAGCATTTTCAGTAGACGAATTGAAGATCGTGTAGTTGAACTGGGTTGATGTACGTTTGGTATTAATGTTGAGAAATTTTGTTTTGGAAAGATTAATTTTCACTTGCCACTCTTCACACCATGTTTCGAGACATGTCAAGTCGCCCTTCAAAAATGCACAGTCATCTAGCCTTTCTATTTTCCGATAAATCACAGAATCGTAGGCATATAACCTAATTGTGGACCGAATACAAGTTGGCAAGTCAGTTACATATATTAGAAAAAGCAAAGGACCAAGCACGGTTCCCTGGGGCACACCTGATTTGACATTTTGTTGTGAATAATTTTTATCGTTATAATGAGCGCTTTGTGTGCGGTTATAAATACAAGTTGAGATCCATTCGATAACAGAAGGGTCTATTTTCAATGAACGTATCTTTAACATGAGGCGGTGATGAGGCACCCTGTCGAACGCTTTCTGGAACTCAATAAAAATGGCATGTGTTTCAGTGCGAGAGTGCAGGTTTTCATGGATATCATTAGTAAACTCAAAAAGCTGTGTTTCGCAAGAGTGGGATCTTCGGAATCCGTGCTGGTTTACAAAGAAGTAGTTCTGCGAGCATAAGTGGTTCATTATGTTTGAAAATACTATATGTTCCATAAGTTTACTGGGTACACTTGCTAGAGATATTGGCATGAAGTTAGAGAATTCATTCTTTGAACCACTTTTATAAATTGGAATCACT